GTCAATTCTCGAAGTGCATCGGCGAATTAATCGCGGCGCGGCCGACGTTTCATTTTTAATCATCGGAATATCCTTCCCCGGGGAGATAGACTGCATTACAAGTCCATTATGTGCCGCGGCGAGTCGCGAAATGTCCGCGGTTTATTTACGCAAGACCGGCGTGCCGTGATACGCGATTTTCGATTCGCTCATTACCGCGATTTCATCGCGGGGACGCTATTTCACGCGGGTTATTCTTATCATATCGCGCGTAATTCCGCCGCACGATATATTCCGCGTATCGCGGGATCTCGCGAACCCCCTGGCAGATCGCCGCGAAAAACCGGTATCATAAATTTAACGTCGAACGACCGCGTCGGTCTGACGAACGACCGTCCCCCCCCAGTGTCGCCCACCCTCTTTTTTTCCCCCAACTATCCGCACCCTCTCGTGTGTTCACTGTATTCTCTTCTCTTTACCACTCGATAATTAATGTTGCCACCTTTTCCTCTTCTCGGTGTATTCGTATCGGCAGTGTAGCACACAGAGTGGAAAGAAACCCTTTGAATATTCACTTGTGCACGAACCGCAAAACCACCACCCGAATGCTGCGCCATGGTTGTTGCATTGATGCTAGTTGGACGAACACAATACTGTTCCTTCCTTCCTCTATTATACATGTGTATATGTATATATCGTTTCTTTCCTTAGGGCACGCATATATATATAGATTGATGTTTTCCGCCTAATTAGTCAAACTCGTTCGGTTGTTTAGGGAGCTCGCTCGTTTTCAGGCGACGGTCGCGATCTGTGGCTGGAATTAATCGCGCGGATTTCCGCTAACGTATCTTGTAACTGGATTTTAAAGTGAACGTAACAGGTGATGAAATTGATCAATTATTAGTTCTCGATAGAAATGTCACAGTGATATCAATGAAGAGAAAACGTTGAGTCGTTTTTTGTTTAAGATACATTTTAACGAATTTGATAAAATCTATCGCGAAAGATTTCCTTCTTTCAGGTTGTACAACAATTTGTAGTTACATTACCTATTTACGATCGTGCAAATGAATCGAAATACGTACGAGATGGAAACGTTCTGATTTGCGGCAGCTGAAGGGTTAATATTTAATTCGCAAGCTCATTGGTTTCCGATTAAACTTGCGCATCGATGAAAAGCCCATTTGTTTGCGACACAGCAGTGCCGCGGAATTTACAATGCACGGTTTAACGGGAAACGTCTGTTATCGCGAGAATTATACTTGATGGCGCGGACGCAGCGTATGACTTCAAATAAGGGGCAGGCGCGGGCCGATTAAACCGATGGCGTATTTAACTCTTTCATTGTTCGAGAGATTGTAATCTCTCCGCTCTTCGCCGGACTGTATTTCCATAAATTCGGATTTTCTCCGTGCCGGGCGATCCGCCGCCGCGTGCGCAGTCGATTAATTAATAGCCGCTAATTGGCATGTCACGCGCACTCGTAAAATTTGGCCGAAGACAGCGATCGTTCGGCATGGCTGGCTTTTAAACTCGTGTCCAGGATGAATCGAACGGCCGGTCGCCGCGTGAATTGCATTCCCGAAATGTCCGTGTCGTGTACGAACATTCTTTTTCAAAAATACGTCGCTCGTTTATTTTCACATGTACATTTCGAAAACGAATTGCGACAAATTGTTGTCTCGCATCGATCGGAACGAAGTGGTATTTTCATAAAGTTGAGAGAGGAATAGACGCGACGTACTGTTCACGGGACGTTCACGAGATGCTCGAAAATCAATATTTCTCTTCATTAATCAAAGGATTTGCCGATTCTATGGAATCGCAATCTGTAAGAACCGTATTTTAATAATCGAGGAAGATATAAATCAAATGTACATGTATCTACGCGCCGGCAATATTGGTAATTACATTTCTGTGCCACAGATCACGCGAGCCTAGGAAAGTGGAGTTCGTGATGCAATTGTAACATCGCTACCCCCCCCCCCCCCTACACACATACACACAAACCACCCCCTCCTCTTTTTGGAATGCGCCTGCTATTTATGCATCACGCTCTTGTTCTTGACCCGCCTTTAGATAACCGGCGATCGTGCCGACCTATTAACCAACCCCGTCGTTGATCGTTAACTTGCGTTTTGGTTTGCGCTAACATCACGCGCGTTACCTGCACAGTAGGTAGTTGTCTGTTGAGGATGCTGTTGATGTGCTGCTCGTTGAATCCACTAGCCTAACAACCGTGCGTACATGTATTATACCTTTGGTATAATTTTTACCGCGCTTTGAAGAGATATGCACTTTCACGATTGGTCCATTCGTTAAAAGTATACGTACACGAGATCACTTCACGTAACAACATTCTATTCGGTGTTTTATAATTGAGCTTCTAAGCGAAAGCTTGGAGCTATACGGATTTCATTATACGTGTGCGTATGTTTTAAATACACACGACACGAGAGTTCGGCATATAATGAGTAAATGTACTCTCTAAAAATCAATCGGTGAATCATCACCGAAAACAGTGAATAGAGTCGCTGATTGACTTTTGGAGAGTAGATTGTAATGCAAAAATTTTCATTCCAATTTTTTTTCTGTGTCCGAGAGAGAATCGAAACGGCCATCTCTTAACAAGCTTTATTCTCTTCAAGGTGAACGTTTCAATGCAAACCGTGTATATAAATGAGAAAGCACTTGTTCAATCGCTCCATCAGCAGCCGATCCGAACGAGACGACTTGGTGCCGATGAAAAGGTAGGCAGAATCGTCAGTTTTTATTGCTCCACCTTGGACCAGCCGGGGAGATAAAAAGGATTCTTCCCGTTGCCGAGTTTGCTTTCCCAACTTTTTTTTTCTCGTCGGCTATGTCGATAGCTCAACGTTATTTGTCGTTTCCGTCAATGCAGCGGCTATTCATTAAAGTCACTATCCATCCATCAGGGCTACCTATACAGGTGTTCCGATCACATCATCTATCAACGCTCGAAACATAAATTAAGAAATATCTCAGAAATACGAGCCGCCGTACGATAGACCGATACATCATTTACTTTCTGGCAGATTGGTATCTGCCAGAAGTATCATTATACTCATAGTTCAGCCTAACGACGCTCGCAACCTTTGTCCCAATTCTTTCTTTGACGTCTCTGTAATTTCCAGAAATGCGTTTTAGCATCTGCTAAAGCAGCAGTCACCTTCCACGTCTTGCAAATTATCTCGAATCAAAAAACGTTACGTCTACGTTCTCCCTGTCATCTTCCCGTGTCTGTTTTGCAATCTGCGAGATAACAGAATCTCGATTATTTTCCTTTCCCTCTGGAAATACAAGGATTGGCTGATATTCCACAATCTCGTCGAAATTCACCGGGTGAAGCCCACTGTCGCGAATGTGAAATGCATCACCGGGCGAGAAAGCCCAGCAGTCACTGTTGTGCATCGTCAGCTTCCCGAACTGCGCATCCACGCGCGGTCTTCCTTCCCCTTACGAATACCGGCGTCGATCATGCAACCGGCAGCTGCTCCACAATGTGGACGGATCGAGTCGTGACATACACGTCGTCGTCTATTCAGCTCCATCGGAAAAATATTCCCTTCGAAAACCTCCGCAGACCAGACCGACTGAAAAACAAGCCGACCAGCCTCGCGGAGTATCTCTACATTTGGCGTTGCGTTCTTCGAGTTTTCTCACGCGCTCTTCCTCTCGCTTCATTTTCGTTAGATTCACGAAATCTCGATTTTCACCCAAGTGCGACTGACGTAGCTTCCGGCGTCGCTCCTCGTCGAAGCTTCGAGGATCACAAATCGCTCGCGTGAGCTTCGAAATATTGCAAATTGCAATTGTCACTCGCGAAAACTGTCCTCCTATGTTGTCCGCCAAAAGAAACTGTGGGGACCTGTCGCGAGCAGCTGCGATGATGCGCGGAAAAAAAATCTGATCTACCCGTAAAGGAGCAATTTCCCTGGGACGAATTCCGTTTCGCCGAGTTTCGTTTCTTTCCCGTCGAACCATTCCCGAGTGTCAAATGCAAGCGGAGCGGAGGAAGCGAACTTTTCTATTTTTGGTTTTCCGAAGTTCCCTCCGCCACACTCTCTGTTCTTACGCCGCGAGGTTCTCCGATGTTTTCCGATGTTCGTATTTACTTCTCGGGCGCAATTCCCCAAAGCCAATCTTTGATAGGAAGAACAAAATTTCCTGCTCGTGCCGCAGCTTCTCTTAGATCGAAATCTTGCTCCGCATTGGCAGGGTCAAATACGTATTTGTCGGTGAATCGTGCTTGTCTTTTTTTGGACATCGTTCGTGCTAGACGCACTTTCGAAACTGAAATCTTTTATTCAGAGCACACAGTGTTGTCCCTTTCTTTCTTTCGTCACACCTCATCGTTGAATTTTCATCGACAGTGGCAAATTTCGAATTAACTTCGAAGCTCTTGAGAAACTTGAACTCTTTAGCGGAGTAAATTGCAAAAGTACAGAAATCGGTACGAACATTTCATTTTTCAGACAATTAAACTTATTATTTAATTATATTAATTAATCATTTAAAATATTTAAATGCTAAATACCAAAAGTTTGTATTAATTTCCTGTAACAAGGAATTGATTATAAAAATTGATTAAAAAGCTTATCGAAATTTGACAAGATGAGAGTGCGATATCCCAGGTGGAAAGGGCCGAGACTCAGTCAAACGTCCTTAGATCAATATTGGGCTTGTACGAGTTTGCCGAACGTGCTGACTGATCAGCGAATAAAAATTTCCTAGGAATTTTTTACCCCATAAATTCCCACGCGACAGTGAAACGTTCGACGAGCTAACTCCCAGGCGGAATATCGATCCTAAGTCTCGTAACCGGGTATCAAATCAAGCCGCGTACCCCGTCTCGCCGGCAGCCGATGCGCGCCGCGGTTCCTAGAGGAGCAACCTGGAGTCCTGGCGGAGAGTGGTCGATAGCAGACGTAAGTCCCGAAGGTAGGCGAGACCTTGTGTAATCGTGCATGTGCGCGCGTGTCGCGTGTGTGTTGTTGCAGCAGCTGCGGCGCTTAGAGGAGTCGCCATACAGCGCGGCCGGGTAGGAGCGGCGAGGGCGACTTTCCCAACAGGCGCGGCCGCCCTGGCGCTTGCCAGGAATCCAGGGCCGCTTGCAGCTGCAGCTGCGGCCACGGCCCTGCATCCCTTTGCACCCACGTAAGTATCGGCCCAGATCAGGTTGCGTCTAACCAACGTCTAACCGAGTGGAGGTATTCCCTGTGCCCAGAGAGTACTCTGTTAAACGGCATTTTAACGTCGACGTCCGAAATTCAATTGGATCATCCACGTGGGCATTTCGCGGTAACCTGAGACGATGCCCCCGAACGAATCGACGTGGTATCGCGCTGCGGTATTCCGTCGGACTTGTCACCAGTCTGTAAAAGTCAATCGGTGGATTATCACTGAAAACAGTGAACAGTCACTGATTTACAGTTACGAGTATGATTACTGCAATTTTCAGTGGTACACACGGAATTTTCTCTTAACATTTACCCTGAAAATTATGTAATCGTGGGACAACGTGGCATTTTGAACAACTCTGTGAGTTTTTCGAAATTTTATAATACCATACGTTTTACTAGTAAAATGTCAAGAAGCTCTCATAATATTCTCCAAAATGCCAAATCTTCTCACAATTATGCAATTTTCAGGATCAAGTTTAAGAGAAAATGTACTTACAAGTGCAAATCATTGTTCAATTCGCTGATTGACTTTTAGAGAGAGTGATCCTTCCGTTTCGTGCCTTTTTTAAATAAAAAAAGTATCGACCAATGCCGTTAATGGAGTGCCTCGCACGGGAATACTTGTACGTGATCGAGGCCATCTTAGCAGCACACCTTTTGTACATGTATATCTGTATTTTAACGCTTGTTTCGTATCCTTTGTACGTATTCTTCTTGGTGAAATCTCTCCTGCAGCGAGTAATCAAGAGCGTACCTCGAAAATACTTTCGCGAAGTTGCGAAAACTTTGGCGGGGGTACGCGATAAAAACGAACGTGTGGTGTAACGACGATAATTAATTTACGTAGCCGGGGTGTGGAAGAGGTGCGTGCGCGTCGTTGAAGTTTCGAAAGACTTTTTCGCGATGGCCTTTTTCTTCTTAACGATCAGTACTTACGTAGTTAGCGTGATTTATATGCCGGTTCTCTTCCATGCGATAAAGTTTAGCTTGTTAGTTTAAACGTTAGACCGTGTTCTCCGACTAATTACGTTATTTATCTTTGATATCACGATGCGTAAACTTGTCTAGATCCGACCCGATCGACGGGTCCTCCTCTCTTCGTCGCCGGGCGCAAATTTGATTTTCGACAAACGATTTGTTATCAGCGGTCGGGATCTCTTTTCATCTTTTCCCGGGTTGTTCGCGTGTTAAAAATTCAATTTTTCACAGACATTAATGATCGCTGATGTAAACAACTGACCCGCGGCCCGGTGGCGGTCATTTAAACTGTATTACGTACCGGGTGCGAGGGCATCGGTTGAGTATATACACTCCATCACTTTATCGCGCGTCGAAGATTATCGAGTGATATCGAAAACGATCGGGGAAATTACTCGCTGCAATGAGTTTGCACGCGCCGCTCGTTAAGGCTTTGCCTGTCAATCTCACTGCGTCTGCACACTGCATGTCTACCTTCCCAAACCCATCTCCCGCAAACGCCCGTGTAACTCCGCGCACAATGCGGATTATAATTTGCGAGAGAACGCCCGCGGCTCGTTCGTTTCTCGCTAAATGGAGACTTAGAACGAGCTGGAAAACGGGGGGGACGCTCGATTGCTTCCCCGCGAGGACGATCAAAGAGGAGGCATTCAGGGGGGAAAAAAAGATTCGATTCCATGGAACTGCACTTTGACCGATTAAAAGATTAAAATGCGACTGTCGGATCAGCGCCGGATTATCATGTCGCGGTGATCGCGCGCGTTTTTTTCCTACGGAAAATCAAAAATCGTTGTAGAATATACGGATATTTTATCTTTTTTTTTCTTTTTTTTTCGGGCAACTTTTATCATTCCGGATTTTTAGGCGCAAGCATTCGCGTTCGAACCGTCAATCGTTCGTTCGTTCGTTCATTTTAACGTTACGGAATTGGACATGGCGTTGGCAGGAATGAAAAATTTGAATACGGACGAAAATCAATCTTCGAAGCCTGTTACATCGATGCACGTCCCGGCCACGAAATCGGATTTGTCAAACCCAATATCTATATAGTTACGCATTTTAATTTAACGCCCGTGTCGTTTCATTTATAAACGCAAATTATTAACGTAAAACAAATTAGAGAGAAGAAAATGTCGCGTTTTATCTTGAATTCGCGTACATCGTTGCACATAGGGCGTTAACACAGCCCCCCCCCCCTAAATAAATACGAGGCGTATTTCGTAAAATATTTGTATAATTTCAGGAGTGGATTTTGCGTATGGGGAAACAATGAAAACGGTCGAAAGAAAGTTGAGGCATAAACATATTTATATCCTATTTGTTTTCAAACTCGATACGAACTGGGTCTAGCTATTTACCGCGTATATGTAGTATTGTCTTATCGGCCTGAAATATCGTATATTGTCTGCCTGTAAATATTTTCGTGATGCTTTGGAAATCCGTCCTCTTTACAAAGGCAGTTTGTAGTTTGCAGCGTACACGATTCCGTGATAATTTGCAAGAGCAGCCTGCAGTTTCCAACGATTTCGAATTTACACTGAGCCGTGATAAGAGTAATGCAACAAAACGATAGACTCGATTATACTCACGAAGATTTGTATAACGTAGAAATGATTTTTGCTGAATCCAATATTGACAAAGCAAAAGACATGCGTTCATTTTATTTCCAAGGCAATCCCACGCGCTTGCCAAACGCAATATTCATGTGCATTTCACGTAATGCCGCTGCACTGTTTTCGATTACTTACATTTTCCGCGGATCTAATAGCATCGGGTGGTATCGAACCGTTAAAAGCATCAAGCGAAGTCGGACAAAACATTTATGCGCGCAATTTTTTATCATTGTCGGCTTGGTTAAGCTCACTCCTGAAATTACGCTCGCATTTTGCAAAATATCCATATCGCGCGTTAAAAAAGGGAGACCAGGGATGAAATTGCGAATCGATTTTAAGGCGCGCGCGTGTCGACAAGAATAAAAACAATTAGCCCCGGTCGCGGATATTTGTATTTATTTGTGTGTTCTCTCGCATCTGTTCCGTTTGTCTCTGGTTACTTTTTGTCCCCGGTCTCCCCCTACCTCGTTCCGTAACTTTTTTCATTCCTGACAGTCGAAACGAAGCGCGAATTCGCATCCCATAAAGTCAACAGGCTTTTTTTTCCCCGGGTCTTTTAAAACAAGATTATTACTTATTCAAGTTAAATAGACTTTTAACAACGATCTCCTCCAACGAGGATAATAATGGGAGCGAGCTACTCATAAAACTAATTCCATTGCGAATGCTTCTGTGCGGATGCAATATAAAGCAATCAACCTTTTCCTCGGCATAATTTATGATCTTCGCGCATAAAACAAACTTCGCGTTGTCGCGTAGTCGCGGGGGACAAAGTTTATCGCCTCTGTCGTCCTTTATTATTCTGCAAAGCGGGGATTATCGTGCACCCAGAAATAAATTTCCAATTTTATTCTCGACCGAACGCAATGTTTAATATGCGACGTCTATTAAACGTGCGCCGTGCATTATTGAATCGGAAGATTAAAAATTCTTTGAAGTGACAGCTTTTACCCGAACGTGTCCCTATTCGCGTTCGATATATCGGAGTCTTTGTAAATACTTTATACGCGCAAAATACAGGGGCCGTCGAATTTGCAAAACACGTTATTTTTTTTTTCAACGGAGATATTTATATAAATGGGAGGTATTGAATCTTTTTAAATAGAAATAATTGGACCGGCGGTTGTAACGTTAATTACACCTCGCAGAGAGAATCGTAAAATCCGAAAATTCGGTAATCCCCTACGGGCGCAGCAGTAGGCGGGGGACAAGCGGATAAGCCGTTCGTACTCATTGGTGCTTTTTGTTTTTTTTTACAGTGTTTACTACGACCCCTTCCTCGCAGCTCACGCAGCGTCGCAGGATCCCAACTACAGGTTGCAGGTGAGACATTTCTCAATTTCCGCTAATTCCCGCGGACGATTATTCTCCGCTTCTGGTGCACGCGCGACCGCAGAGAAACGGAGAGAAAGAGAGCGAGAGAGCGAGAGAGAGAGATCTGCGGCTATCGAGATACTCGAACGAGTTTTTAATTAAATCGAAGAATACAGCGGAGCGCGCATAGTTAAATGGAAACGGCGCGATAATCAATCACGTCGCGATCACCGACTGATAATCGGCTATTAATCGGAAAACAAACCCTCGCGAGCGTTGACGCGTTTTCATTATGTTGCGCTACACGGACATCGAGCGGACATAATTAATCGGGCGATCGGCGGACCAACTCTGATGGAATCGATACAAAACGTTCGACGCGAGCTTGCAGTGTTCCACGACTACGATTCGATAAAGCTCGACGATGAAATTTCTTCCGTGAATCCTCTCTTTCTGCCGACGTTGTTTCGACGATGCGCGAAACAAAAGCGTTTAGTCTACTAATACGAGATTAGATATAAAAATTGTTATGGAAATATGATCTAGCCGCGTAATTAATAGAATAGTAAGACTTAATTGTTTTCTTCTTCTTGAAAATTTCTTCGCAGACATTGTAGGTTTTTTAATTACATTTTAGAAATGAATCTCTATTTCCTAGAAGCACACTGGCTGCAAATAAACGTCATTAAACTCGACGGCAGTGAAACATTTTTTTTTCCATAATTGTACGTGCAGCATTCAAAAGATTGTAAGGGGCTCGTAATATCGTAGTCGTTACGCTGTTAATCGCCCCTTTTGCAAGCCCGAAATATTCTCAACGGTAAGTGCGGCCCGTTGGAAAGGCAAACGGAAAACGCTTATTCGCACGTGCACCGGAAGCGGAATGCGGCGCGGTATCTGTAAGACGAGACAAATGATCGCAGAGATTTTGACTAAAGTCCATAATCTCTTGGTGGACCCGTTTAGCTGGAATGGCCTCAAGCAACAGCTGACGTTAGTTGACACACATTTTGCCAGGCTTGCACACACGAGAGAACGCCGAGAGAGAAACCGATAACAATTACGCCATCCCTATCTCCACATTGTCCCGACCATTCGCCATTCTCATTGCATCTCATTTTTCGCCTGTCTCTTTTGTTCTCTTTCTCTTCCTCTTTTTCTCTCTCTCTCTCTCTCTTTCGTTCCATTCATGTAAAAATCCCGATGCATCCGGCAGGATTGATCGAAAAAAAGCGAGCACTGCTAACCGTCGAGATGATTATTTCTGCCCCGATGACGCTGTCTCTCCGACACCATTCCCGCGTGAATGGATTTTACATTCGACCGTTTTGTTGGCGTCCCCTTTGAAATTAGCTTCTCGTCAAAAAACAATTGTCAAATCTCAGCTACAACTACAACGGACCGCTGTTGGCGACGAGAACGGTTCTATTTGTTTCACTCTAATCGCATTCCCAGCAAATGTATATCTTTAATAAAAATTTTGATTCTAGTGAAAGTTACGTTAAAAGTTCAAACAAAATTCTGAATCAATTGGCGAAGGAAAATAATTTGACAAAATTTAATTTAAGATTTCCATTTTGCCGAAAAACACCACAGCAATATAAAGAGTAATTTTTACCACGTGTTTTTGGTAAGTTGGCTGTCCTTTTAACGTGCACTGATAGAAACATCTCTTCTCCAATGGAGTTTTCGGTAAGAAAGAAAAAGAGAACAGCAGATTTGATAAGCTGCATCTTTTAACATTGAATTACATTTCGAATTGTCGTGCATAATTAACTATCGGATTGGTTATCTTAGGACGCGCAGTCTTGAGACGAAATTCACGGTTTCATTTATACGAGAGTACTCTGCCATCTCTCAATGCGGCATCTTGTTGCATCTTGTTGCCTAAATGCATCTTCATCATGCACCTTCGGCATCGTCTTTGTCCCCGTTTTCTCCCCCTTTATATTCTTCTCCCGTCATCTTCAGCTGTTTAAAGGGATGATTATTAAGCGACGATATATAATCGCGAAAGAAAAGAGAAAAGTAGCGTTTGGACAGGGATAACGTTAACGCGCGTCGATTGTACAGACTTTTGCATCGGAAAACGGAGGGAGGGTTTAAACTCGCTTAAAGCGAGGACTTAATTCCCTCGTGTAAAAACTCGAGCTCGAGTTTTCGCCGTCCGGTATCCTTCCGGAATTTCTTTTCAGGTTTGCCGTTTGTGTTTCAGGCTAAAGCGCCCGCCCTGGAGGTAGGAATTAAGGGTCCGCCTGTTCTTCTCTCGTCTTCTCCGTCTGTTTTATCTATACACATCCCTTTTACTCTCTTTTTCTTCTTCCGTTTTATTCAGTCTGTTCTCTCTATGTTCTTTTCACGTTTTCGTTTGTTCGCAAGATTGAAGTGCTCACCGATTGTCGGCGACTACTTAGTTAAACGTGTTCCCAATCCGATCTTTACTGAAAAAAAAGAAAGGAGGAAAAAAACAGAAAAGATCCCTTCCATGAAAATCTCGCTGTAACTTTTCCTCCGATGGAAAGTCGTGTAGGGGAGCTGTAGAAGAGTGTTTCAGCTGACGAGGTTTTTTTCTTCTCCGACCATGTTGCGTCTTTTTTTTCGTTTCTTTTCTGTGATCCTTGATTGATATTAGCGTGAAAGACAGCATGTAATGTCGCCTTTTTTCCAGTCAGTAGAGCATGCGTCGCAAAGATCTTAGCAATACGTCGTAGGAGGCCTCTGACAAGTGGAGTAAACATTTTGTGATAAGTGCACGCAATTAAGTATGTCGTTTGGAGTTCCTCAATTTCGAGGGAGCTTTGTATTACGCAGGCCAGTAGACAAATGGCGTAGGCGGGTTTCGTGTGATTAGATAAAGCTAAGGTAGACGGTAGTCGTGCCACAATTTGTACCTTAATTATATGGTGTTGTAGCGAACCCATCACATGTTTAAATGTAAAAATATTTCTTCGCACTTAACTACGAAAAGAATCAGGGATCTTGTAATATTTAATTCGGGACTCTCAAGTACAATAGGATGTACACGGGGAGAGAACTTTCTCTTAAAATTTACCCTGAAAATCGTGTAATCGTGGGACAACATGTCATTTCGAACAACTTTACGAGAGCTTTCTGAAATTTTACCATACATTTTGCTAGTAAAATGTATACCAAGTCTAATTATTAGTAAAATGTATGGTAAAATTTCAAAAGAACTCCCATAAAATTCTTCGAAATGCTGTCTTGTCCCACAATATATTTTCCTGTAAGCAAAGCATTCTGTCAAAAGTACACGGAGAGAACTTTCTCTTAAAATTTATCCTGAAAATCGTGTAATCGTAGGACAACATGACATTTTAAACAACTTTATGAGAGCTTTCTGAAACTTTACCATACATTTTACCAGTAAAATGTATGGTAAAATTTCAAAAGAACCCTCATAAAATTCTTCGAAATTGTTGCCGTGTTGTCCCACGATTACACGATTTTCAGGATAAATCTTAAGAGAAAATTCTCTCCGTGTGCTTTTGACAGGATGCTTCGATCACGGGAAAATACATTCGAATACACGATTTGTATTTTATCACGTGGCTGCCTCAAACGGAACAAGCTTTAACGACGTATCTAGAACTTATTCTCAGGCTCGACATGGCGTAATCAATTTTGGTTGAACGGTCTGCTGTTCTAAGGGAGATCGCCTTACACCGAAAATACGTCTATAAAGACCTAAGCAAACGACACATGCATTACAATCACAAATATCCGATGGATATTAAAGCGTAGACCACTTTGCAGTTATGAATCACTGAGCAACGACCATTTGTTGGACGCATTAAACACACGAATAACTACTTTACGAGACCATCACTGGCAGACATCTCAAAAGTCCACCGATGACGACGTTATTGTGCGAATGTCTTGTTATAAATGTCGTAGCGTCAAAGTATATTGCCGCAAGAATTTTCATATCTCTTGTAAAGAAATTTATTACGAACAGCAAATGTCTAGAAATCGCGTAAATTAATAAATAAGGAAAATTTTAATCTTGAAAATTGAAGCAACGATGTTGGGCTAACATGAAACTACTATTGGCTCTATTTGTAGTTTCAGTCGTTCTTATCGCAGTTTACAAAAATGCAACATTACTTCCTTGTCGTTTGGACCAAAATGAACGTTAAATAAATCGCTCCTCGATGATGTGCGAGCGCGAAGATAAATTTAGTAGCGAATCGCGCACGTAAATAATAATCAAGCGTGATTAACGAGGCGTTAATTGGCGCCAACGGGAAAACGGGATTTTCGCGTCCGGTGAAAATTCGTGATCGGAAAGCGCGAAAGGTGTCTTCGAACTGGGTCATAAATTGTCTAGGCGTGCGCGTTGAGAATTTTTCGCGGCTAATTTGGGCGGCTCAATCTGCGAATTCGACGGAGGCCAAGCGGGGGGGGGGGCCTTCGTCAGCCGAGCGCCGTTTTCGTTGCCACCCACGTTTTCGTTGGTGGCAAAGCCTCATTCGCACGAGAATTTACGACCCGCCCGTCGTAACAGAGTCGGTCCAATTGCCAAGCTCTTCTTCGACTTTGTCGAGAGACCGCCGTAAATCAACGTCATCGGGGAAAACGCTTGTCATTTAACGACTGACGGGTTCATCCTGGCCAGATCTACGCGAGGATATTCGCGCGTTAAATGTCAACGGCATACAACGCGAAATCGCTATCCGTATATTCTAGCTGTTTATACAAATTTCCTGCATTTTCCCTACTTCCGAGACGTTAATCGTAGAATTTAAATTGGAAAGCTGAAGGATTTTCTGAGAAAAACACGTGAATAATTCACGTCAAGTGGGAAAGAAATACATGACAGTTCGCGTGTAATAATTTTCATAAAATTGTGGTTGTAGTCCGCGGTTAATTCGCAAAGCTAGATTTTAAAGGAAAGGAAGACTCGCGATAATAATTACTCTCTACAGCTTTCAATTCTGTAGAAATTTTATCTTACATTTTCATAGAGGAAAGTCCTCTATTATGAGATAGCAGGTTTTCGACGTCCCAAATTCAATCACAAATCTTTTTTGGTGACGATCACACGATCTAACAATCAATTTCCCACTAAACAGATTTCACTTTGATGCAATAAATTCATGGTGGAACCAATAGATGATGCTGTCTGATATTAGGAACTTGTCTCATAATAGGGGACTTCCCTCTAATAATAATAATTTTACTTTCCCATTTTATTACGTCAAGTATAATACAGACTAAGCAATATCAAAACGTTCAAGATCAGCTTTTGAAATCGTGGAAAGTTTGCAATTAAAGTGTTTAGCTTATTTAACTTTGGCCCGATAATTAGCTCGGCCGATTTAATCTGCGTGCCTTCTCCAGGGGAATTGAACGCCGTATCCGCGAAATATTTCGAAAGTCTTTTCGTTAACTTAAAATTCGAGGGCTCGTCGGGGACCTGCAGTTTAGGTCTCAATCAGCAAATAACGCATACATATATTTTATACTATATACCGTGTACTTGTATGCTGTAATTGGCAAAAGGTGTTCTTGCCTTCTTGTTATCTATCGGGTATTTTCGTAGTCGCGAATAAAAATTGGAGCTTTTATCTTTTTCTTGTTGGTACATAATTTAACGCTAATGAAAGGTACCTAAAGAAACGGGGAAGCGAAGAGAGAGAGAGAACATCAAAGCAACCGAAAGAAAACAGACTGGTCTTCAAATTTCGTAACCGCTGCTTTTAATTATTAAAATCAATTAGACGTGCGGTATTGCAGTTCTTGTTATTACAACATGTGAAAATGTTTGTTAACACGCGCGAGAAGACGAAGGCGCTGGAGTCGAAAATTTTGAAGGATAGCGAACTTCGCTGAATAACATTTTTAACAATGATAGAATAAAATGGTGAATATATTTGTCGTCCTTCCGTCATAAAAATTCGAAAATCGCCGAAGCGAGTTGCACAATTCTATTCTCTTTGCATTACAGACGACGCTATCTCTCGCGCATCGAAGCGCTTAAGCAAAGCTTAGCTCTTACTTGCCGCGATCTTCGTCACCGTCAGGATTTAATTGTTAAGCGTTTCACCTGCACCACAGTGTAAATAGAGGTTTCGAGTCTGCGGTTGCGCCGTTTAACGGGCCGTCTCGGACGCGAAAGTACGAAGCGCGAGAAAGGACGTGACGCGACGTCAAAAGAAGGAGAGAAGGAAAAAAAAAAGAAAAAGCAGACACCGACCACAACGAGGCGCTGAATCGACGTAACTGCGAGATAAAAAGCTATAATCGCCGGTTTCGCACGCGACAAGAGGACCGTTTTTTGCCGCGATCTCGGGCACTTCCGCTCGGTTGCCCCCGGAAATTGAATTCGGCGAGAAATTATTGCCCCCTTGTTTCCGACGATATCTCATCGAAAGCGGGTCCTTGCGGCCGTGCACGCGCTGAGGGGATTACATAATTCTCGGCAGGACCGAGTCGTGAGGACCACGTCGCTGCCCTTCGACGAGAGACCCTACCCCCCCCCCCCACCCCTGTTTTGAACAGTTTGAGAACGAAATTCCGCCCGAGAATATCCGCGGAGCAATTTGGCGCCTCTCGGCTCCGACTTTCAATACTCGTCGTCCTGTTTTCTTCCCGGTGGCAAAACAGCTCGCTCGCTGCATTGCCTCCCCCCGCGACTATTCCTCGCTGTCTTTTTTCGTGACAAAACGTCGAATAACAACCCGCTCCTGACCGCCGAAAGTTTCTGGCGCCGACTAAATCGTGTTTTCGTCGCGATACGCGAGCCGGCCAGCCAATTTGCTCTGCAAATCGCTGCTTGCAGCCCGTTATTCGCCGCGATGTCAAAAATTATTGAACGCCCGGTAACTCTGTCGTTCTTACGGAATTGCGAGCGGTTCCGGTAAAAAAAATTTTATCCCCTGTCTGCATTATTAATCCGTCGCGCGTACACCGTGGGCAGAATATTCTATTCTCTCTCTCTAAATTCTATGACTGATCCAAGAAAAGTGTCTTCTCGATCGAAGTTACGTCACTTTTCGAATTTTTCATTTTCGATTGTCCACCGTAAAAGGGTTTGCTATCGGACCTTAGTATTTTAAAACTGAAAAACTTTGAATTTCAATGTTGCTGTAATGCTAATAAGTGCATAATTGGCGCTCCAGTATTTTTGCCTGGTGAAACTCGATTTCAAATTCTGCAGAGAACTCACAAACCAAGGGGGCAACCACTTAATGTAATCGTATCTCTGAAATCATCACGAAGTCTTTACGAAATCCCCATGTAATCCTTTTGTCTTTATTTTTAAGTTTCTTCACTTGTTAGAGCTTTTTGAGATTTAACAACGTCACGTATTTTTAAGCACATAAGAAATGCATATAAGAAAATTATTTGCAATTAGATGAAATCGTATGAAATCAAATGAAATCATGTAATCGGTGGGACAACGTTTCAGCTGGCGGTTACCCCCTTGTTACAAACAAATTGTGGGCGGACGTGTGTTACAGAATCGTTGAGTTTCTTTCATACGACGTTTTTTTTCCATTAAACTTGTTGCAGTAACGAATCCTACTGACTAGCGCGCGCGATGGACAACGCTCGCAGTGTAACATTATAACATTCCTTCGTGCGAGCAACCAGATTTAGTATTCTGGAAATTTCCAGAATACATTTTGCATCGCTTTCCTTTATTAATTACGAAATAACTATACTGATCAGTGCGGACGGTATAATAATGCTTGACGTTTCGGAATTAGGAGTGGCAGTGCTGTAATATTCCTTTTGCATTGTCGCTCTTTGTGTTAATATTGAAGTAATGAAATGATAATTCATCTATTTAATATTTAAGTGAAGTTTCATCGAATAGCTAATATTAAATTGTACATAATATATTAGCAATTTGCGTGATACTCCGTTTACATGGAGTGCAGATTTGTTCGCGAACTTGATATGCGGCGACTTTTGATCGAGTTCAATTACTGTTCTATCTCGATTTTGGTCGTAAAAATACTCGGCTACGCAAATTCAAGTAAAATCTACGGCGAAACGAAAGTTTGATCACATTTATGTAATATAGATATCAAGAAAGGGTTGGGAAGTAACTCGTTACTTGTACAGAGTAGTTACAGTCAGTTTTTTTTTGTAACTCTAACTTAACTTCGTTACTTTCTCTCGAGCTGTAACAGTGACTCAACAGTTACATTAATAGTTACTTTATATATTTTTTAAACCTCCACAGATCGCATTAAGCCTTGCACTTGCGCATAAACGCCTTTACAATTGATATGCAGATTTGATATTTTTATTTTCATTGCAAGAAAATAACTGCAAACTAACGAGTCGTTATTTTTTTTTTTAGTAACTAACTGTACCGCGTTACTTTTCAGAATAGGTAACTTGTAACTGTAACTAGTTACATTTTTAGGGGAAAAAACTACAACCGTAACTAGATATTTTTATAAAGTAACTTTCCCAACTCTGGATATAAACCTATTGTATGCGGCTGTTCCGCTAATTACTTATTAATCGTTCTTATAATATTCAGCTGTAATTGCCCCATTATACTGTTTTGTAAAAGCATAGAGCGTGTCTCCTGTAATGTTACGCACGTAACAGCAATTCCGCAATAATAAATTAACAACGTGGTCGAACAATCGGGGGGGGGGGGGTTAAAACGGGGAACTTAATCCCCGGGCTTTCGGGGGAGCACTCTTGACACGACGATGTTTGAGCAAACTGCATTCGAGTTGAGGTCAAACGCGCGAATGGAAATGTCATGGAAATCGCGAGCATCTGAGCGCGCGTGTTACGTTGTCGCGTAATGGAATACATATACATCGGCGTATCGGATTGCACATCCTAGATGCATGCACATAGATCCTCCCCCCCGCCATCGTGCCGGCGCCAATGAGCGCCGCGCTCAACAGCCCTATCTTCATCGGGCATAAATCCCCTTGGTACACCGAGCGAGATTTCGATGCTGCGTGCAAACACTTATGAGGGTTCGCTATTTAAACATCCTAGTTATTTCCAACTGCGTCGTTACTACGAACGGCCCTTTTGAGGTTCGCTCGAGCGAAGTTACTTATTGCCTGGAGCACAATAGTCGGCGAGCACACGGTCGACGCGCCGAGAGAGGTCAGATTATTTATTGTCATATTGAGAATTTTCCTTTTTGCTCGCTTCGACAGTTGCGTTGTTGAAACAGACCTCCGTTTCGCCTTGTATTACTTAAAGCCAAAGGTATTTCGCTTCGGAAGGGACTCATTGTTGGAACGGTTTCTCCTCCATCGGCCGAGGCCTGCGCCGAGACTGGAGAGGAGAGGAAGCCCGGCGATTCGCCATCCCAATTCTTTTCTACTTCGTATATATTTTGTAGTTTTCAAATCTTTCGCCTTGCACCGTGGCTACTTTCATGGATCTTCATGTGGCATGACATTTTTACATCTCTCCGATTTTTTTTTATGTGGAACAAAAGAAGTATCCGCGTCGAAAAGATTTCCGAAGTACACTTTTCTCATTCGGCATTTCATTGTGTACGGAAAAAAAAATAGTCTCGAGATTAGTGCAAACGACGGAAGAATCCTTGTTTTTCAGTACGTTTCTGTATTTTAGGACTCGCAATTAGAAAGCGGAATGTTTGCATTGTCGCGAAATTTCATTCGATTAAACATATAGTCGCTTGGTGTCATAAATCAATTGAACGTCATCAGTTTCGACCAGATCATGTGTTCCTTGTAAATAATATATATTCCCCTCGGAGCTTATATAAAATATAGCTTCGAGTGTCACAGTTAGTTATATGCTCGAAATGTTTGAATATCCATGCACTGACATTTTTAAAACAGCGAGAGAAATGCGACGCAAAAGGTTTTCGACAATATTTTTTTCCCCCCTATATATTCAAGCCTGAAAATGTCACTCGGCTGTTGCATCTCGCTGTTCTATCGATGTCGCAACGAACAACGCTGATGCGTTTCATGTAGTAATTGTACATAGAAAACGTTAGCAAACAGTTAGACAGTAGTACATTCCGTTTATTTCGAAAATCCTTTGTCGAGACGAATTTTTTAATAGAAATTTTATTAAAGGTATGTTTTCGTAAGACTACAATACATGTGTAACGTTGCTTAAAAAAAACAGAAGCTGTTTTTTTTAGAACCGCACAGGAGAAAGTGATCCTGTTGAAATTACAATATTTTTCCACAACATAGAGCAAAATTACACATGCGTTGACGTCGCGTTCATAGTTGCGTTCCATTATTATTGCGTTATGTTATTAATTAATGCATATCTGATATTTAAATCATTTTTAATTAAAACTGTCTGTATATTTCTTTCGCATCAAGTAGACTGTCACATTGATCAATTGAGGCTACGATTGGAAAAAGCGCACGTCCATTTCAAAGTTTCCATTTGATTTTATTCAACACCTGCAGTTTCATTGATAATGGCTGTAATTGAGTACATTATCCCCGATGTTCTTTCCGTTCTGCGCCTCTTTTCCAGCCGCAATTGTCACTTCCCGCGGAGTTAGAGCTACGTTTTCTGTGTGCAACGACACGACGCCTCTAGGAACGATCGTATTAGTATCGTTTCTCGCTGAGATCATCCTCTCTGTCTGTCTCCGAGCTTGCTTGAGCCTTGCATGGCGGGTCATGGTTGTTGTTTCAGGCCGCTGCAGCGGCGGCCGCAGCATCACCGTTGTTGAAGACACCACTATCAACGGCACAGCAGGCTACGTACGCAGCTGCAGCAACGTACACGGCGGTGGCTGCGCGCGCATACGGCGCAGCTGCAGCTGCGGCACAACCGGTCGCAGGATATGCCGCAGTCGCGGGGTAAGTGCACCACATTTTCACCCGAAACCCCCGTGTATGTACTCTCACTCACCACGAATCCTCCAGGACCTCTCTCTGTCTCTCCCCCTCTCCCCTTCTGCCATTCGATATATAGGACGTCCTAGATTTAGCGAGCCAGCTTCCGTCCGCGGATTATTTAACAAAACTGGAATCGGGGGGGTTTTTTTTAACAAGAATATGTAACTTTTAGTATTGAATTATTTATCTGTCGCTGATCTTATTTAATTAAAAAAAATCTGTTGACGAAGCACGTGCAGAATTAATTGAAGAATTATTCCGAATCGATTAAATGCAGTAGTTCGGTAAATTTATAGAGATATCTCGCGCAACGCTGAGTATCCGCGAAGAGAACTTCTCGAGCTTGTTCCTCCTGTTCCTCTCGGAGAGAGGAAGTTTTCTTCGCGAACGCGCTTTTCTCATATTTAACGAGACTGGAGTCAGCTTTTTGGAGGGAATATGTGACTCTTGAATTACTCACTGATCTTATTTAATAAAAAAAAGAAATCTGTTGACAAGAAGTACGTGCAGAAGTAAACGAGGAATGATTCTGAATTGATTGAATGTAGCTCGGTAAATTTAGAAATATCTCGTACGACGCCGGAAGAAGAGCATAGATCTCTGGGAGGAGAAGAAAACTTTACGAACTTACTCCTTTTATTCCTCTTACAGAGAGGAAGCTTTGCGACTTTTCTTCGCGAACGCGCTTTTCTCGTGGGGTCTCGAGGTTTTTCCTTTGAAACGGTGCTTCATTTATCTCATATGAATTATTTACAACTCGTTATTTAACGTCTGTTATATCGCTATGTTTTACTCGGGGCACCGTTCGTTGTATCGTTGTAATATTTCTCAGCTATACATACATTTTTAATTAATGCACTGCGGTAATTGTTTAAGATACGTCTTGAGAAATGCTTAATACACGGGAAAAAAATGAAGTCGCTTGAATTAAACAAGCATAGATAATTCGCTCCATTGTACTTGCTATGGGTTTTTATTTAAACTAAATATTTAGATCATTAAGACAACTATCCGATGCTTTTCATTTATCAATACTGATGTTGTTTCAACGATTTTATTCCAATTATACTGATCTTGATGCAACATCGTTTTCTTTCCGTGTACGCGATAAGAAAATCTATGATAACTGATCGTTGTATTTAAAAATAATATATAGAACGTATCAGAGCGATCGCGTGAAACATTCGCATGTTTTGGTACTTGTACAGTGATGGACAGAATGGTTGCAACATTTTTTTAAAATGAGTTTAGGAACAAGTGCATTTAGAGTCACGGTGACGTTTCAAAATCTTCTCCGACACTTCGCTCGGTGGTCACATTCGGGAACCATTTCGAGCATCTATTTCTCTAGTAAGATTTTCGTCAGAGAAAATATTTCGGGACGTAGAGCCTAATCTAAACGCGCGTTCCTAAACTCGTTTAAAAAAACAGTGTCGCGACCATTCGGTCCGTCACTGTACACCCCGAGCTCATTCTCGTAACAACAAACTCGTTACATTCGGAATTACAACGCATAACGTCTTCATTACCGATATGAAGGGCCATGATTCTCCCATCATAACTGTGGTCAGTATGCAGTCTCGTACTGACACGCAGATGCACGCGTGTAGATTGGGGGGACGCTTTGAAGTCATTGGCTCGACCCCATTACGAGAGTGAGGTCGAGGCATATATCATGTATTGAACATCGCGATGAATTGCCTTGATCCCACCATCCCTGATGATGTTCACTATCCTCCTTTACCTCCGGCAGCAACCCCCAACGCTTTCGTCTCGTCTCCCTTTTAGCCCTCGTCAACAAAAATGTTAATTCTCCGAAAGAGGAGAATTATTGATCACCAGCACGAGTTGTAACACGAAAAGTCCATTCCTTGCAGCAAGTCCCGACGCCGCGGACGGCCTCTTAGGAGTCGCAGATGCATTTCCGAAATCCAGACCCGTCCCGAAAGTCCAGACACACCCTCCAAGAAACCTTAAAGCGCGCTTAATGCACACCTATCGGTACCTTCCAACGTAAACGACAGAAGGAATATCAAGTACAGATATGAGTATTAGAATTCGATTTCATATACGCGTTCTCCACTTCTCACGTTTCATTCAGCCCCTCTTGCGATCTTCCTCGCTAGCGGGGAAAATCGCGGAGGGCGGATAAATATGCATGCATGAAATCGTTCAACCGCATCGGGACGATAAAGCTCAAGGTATTAACAATCGATTCTTCATTGTTCTTGCAGTTACGGGCGTGAATACGCCGATCCCTACCTCGGGCATGGCATCGGACCTGTGGCGGGTTACGGGGTAAGAAGAAGAGAGCTTCGATCACGGCGTTGTATCTTTACGATTTCATTTAACGGTAGTGCCGTTAAATCGCGCGCACAGATCTACACCCGTATGGGAGGAGAATGGAGCACCCCCGTTATCACGCCGTAAATAACGGGGCGTTAGGAGAGACCACCTCGGCCGTGGCGCGTTTCACTCACATATGAATTATTAATGCCGGGCATTTTCAACTCGCGGGAACTGTGTCGCGGCGAAAGTTAATGGCTCGTGTTCGCATTTATCCTCTGAACGCGACCGTGTTCGGACCGCGCCTTGGTCTCAGCTTGCGCGGCGAGCGCGGCGCGTGTTGCGTAAATGTCCGTGGACGACCGAACGAAATGCGCGCCGCGTTCGTGAAGAAGTTCAATCGTTCTCGACCAACCTCGATTTAACGCGGCGATGATTCAATAATTTTTCAGCTCGAGCCCGGTTGCTCTCGCGTTACATCGCAGACGCGCCGTAACCGTGATTTAAAGCCCCGCGCGAGGCGCCGCTCGCGTTACTTGGCGTCTCCCTTCGTTTCGGAAAATTGTTCAACGCCGAAATTGTGTCTGATGAATTTCTATCCCTTGCAGGCAACTGTGTACAGAGGTGGCTACAACAGGTTCACGCCATACTAAATGGGATCGTTGATAGCAGAGCGCGAGAGCCTTCCAATTACTCAGCAGAACATGACCAGACACAAGTCGACTCAATCATCATCGTCATCTTTGCCATCATCGAGATCACCCGCGAAACGACGAACCCGTGCATGCTGATTCCGCCGGTTTTACTCCCGACCTTTGCCACTCGGGATCATCGTGAAGACACGAGACCGTTCTTGACTTCTTCAGCACCGAGACCGTTCGAGATCGGAACTGTTGTAAGCGCAAAGCGTCTATGTCGAATCTTGAAATAGTAGTACCTTTGAAAATATGCAAACGGGCGAGAAAAATCGGTCAGTAAATGCAGCAGCAGCGGCAGCGAGTTCGGCGCATCGGAGTGTCGAGTCGTGTTCGGCCGGAAGTCGCCTCTAAGTCAGCTCTAAGTCGCTCCCCTGCCAGCAGCTATTCGCAGGGGGGAGGACTTTTCTACCTGACTTTCGTTTCCATCTGACAAATCGGATTGGCTCGTCTGAGCAAATTGAAGTGAGTTTCAAACATTGAGATTAAAATGAAATTAACGGCAGTGCTAATCGCGCTTGCCAATTTTATTGCCCGAAATTATTCCCGATAACGCCACCACATTTCCGTATTTATACTTGTCAGGTGTTTTCAACGACACATTAACATGACTCCAAGCGTTTTAATCTCGCGAGAGGTTTCACAAGCCACTAAACGAAATATAATATGACAGTAGTTATATTTCTCTCTTTCTCTCTCTTGTTTATAGTTTTTTGTAAAATGCATTACTATTATAACCGATACGATGCATCCGATTCATGCACGTTTGCCCATTTACCGAGATATTTGTAATATAGCTGTACATTTGTTGTAATTATTTCAGTTTAAGAGACAACGTTGCACAATACAATTTGCATTCATAGTTTAAAATTAGCAGATAGTGTTAATAATTCGAAGGGGCTGCCGAATCGAGAGAGAGAGCCCTGAACATTTCGCACAAATATCGTAGGATGATTTGACGCACATTTATTTCAGTAATGGAATCAACATGAGCAAACGTGCGGTTACTGAATATACAACTATCGCAAAGTGACACGTAATATTTTACTACAGTGTAAAACGTAACTTCTCTGCTATGGCAGCAAGGCATTGACGATTTCAGTCGACACGAATCGGCACGAGGTGATCCGAGAAAGCGAGAATCTTTAGGTAGCTAGTTTAAAAGAAAAAAAAAGAAAAACGACCTAGAAAGAAATAAAGGCATCCACATGACCGGTAGGGTTTCTATGCCAAATAAGTGTGTATGCGCTTTTTGCGCGCGTGTGTATGCGTAGGTTTGCGAGCCGAAACTCTGTTCTCAGTAAACATAGAAGGGTAGCAAAAACCGGAAGAAGACAGGGACAAGAACCGCTTAAGACCTCCGAAACAGTATGTCGGATTCTAATTGCGCAGGGTCTAATCAAATCGATTCCTCGATTACAATAACGCGCAACTTCGAGCCTCATTTATCTTTTACAATTTGATCAAGCGCCTCGACCCTGAATTCTCATTTCGTATGCTCCATTTGCCGGACATTTAAGCTAAATTAAAGCTAATTTTTTCTCACTTTATGACTTCGCCGACATCGAACACCGACGTATTTTCTGTTAAATAACGAAATTCGAAAGAGGTACGTCTTGCATTAAATGACAAGAATTTGAAGGATCTGTTGAAACTTGAAAAGATCTGTTTTATAGTTTTAATTCTTTGAAACTTGAATTTAAGATTTACTTCCATGAAGTGGTTATTTCGAAACATTTCGTGCGGCAATTTTATTAACATCCTTTTGCGTAAGAATACAGCGGCGAATTTTGTATTGGAGCAGCGAACACGGTAATATTGTCTCATCAACGTCCTCTTTCCCTGAGAAGAATCCGATATTGAGTTTGCCACGCGATACTCCTTCCCCTTCTCCCCCCTCCCCCAGTGTGTACTACTTATTTATTTAGTTAAGCGACTGAAACAGACATGACAATTTTTTTTACTGCAGTAAACGTTAAGCAGAATCCACCTCGTAATCGCTAAGCGCAGAATCTCGACGCCAATGAACGAGAATGTAGTAGTAGTATGTAAACGAAGATAGATTTGTAGAATGCGTCTTTTAGTGTGATCGATCTTGCAAGGCGCATCGCGAACGCACGGGGCTCTGTCCGCTACACTAAGTCGGACCGCTATTGATCGGCAATAAGCAATATTGTGCGAGCAACTCTTTAGCGTGGACATTGCATACTCAACAGGTCGTTTCGGTTCCTCGATGTTGAAGTGACGCGCGCGCCTGTGTAAAACGAATTCGTCTTCTTATCGCAAGGGATGATTGGGCTCAGCTAAATGCCGACGTCAGTTGTAACGAAATACATCGAGTAATCGGAAACGCCGATTATGGATAGATACTTTCGAGTAACGTTAGCAGCGCTTTTCTTTCTTTTTTCGTCCCTTTTTAGTTGCGAGGTATCGACTTTGTGTACTTTGTGTATCTTGATAATGAAATATAATTTTTGTATTTACATATAAGATTTTATGAAAATTCTTTACTGAACTTTACGCACATGACTTTTTATATAAAATGTACTTCTCATTCTTGGGGAATTGTTAGTTTATCTGTAGAGATGCTTGTCTTTGAATCGCCGTCAATTTCGGTCTCTATTCCGATCGGCGTTCTCGGTCACTAGATCTTTCTCTTGTGACACTGCTTCCTGATCGAGTAGATATACAGCTGCGCCATACAGAAAGATGCTCTACTTGAGAGTAATGCGAAAGGAAAAGAAAAATGGTACGCACATTGAGTCGAATGAGTGATATCTCTGTTAAATTAATAATTAAGCGAGGATTTATCGTATATATTATACGTAAACGGATAAGATATGTTACGCCACGTTGCGCACGGCAGGAATAAAGAGACGTGTATGCGAACTGATGCAACCGAAGGGCGGAGAGTAAGGAGGAGAAGGAGGACGGAAGGGAGGAGCAAAGAACATAAGAAGTGTGAAATAGCCAAATATGACAAAGATGTTTTAGAAAGTACGGCAGGTAGTTTGGCCGTCGTTACGTTTTAATCTAATCTTCAACTAGGATTAGGCTAAGCTCTAGGACTCGAGGGCGCTCGAGGCAGAACGCGACAACTCTTTTTTTTTTCTCTCTTCTTTCGCGAACGTCGTGTACATGTACATAGATCAACGTAGATTTTTCGAGCACAAAGATAAAGTGGAGGAGCGTGCCGAGGAACGCACTATAATTTAGAAAGTACTGTAAAGAAGCAAGCAGAAGAAACCACACAGACATACTCATGGTTCTCGTAAAGTTAAACTAATGAACGTAGATTAATTAATTGATTATGCAGTGAATACCAGAAATGGATTTTGTCGCGGAACGTGACACGTGCGTGCTCGTCGTACGTGAATGACGGTTGTCGAGTCGTGGAAAATTGTCGGTTTCCCTTCCGCGTGAAAGGCAGCGCAAGTAACTGTACGCGGGCTCGGAGGAGAGATGATAAAAGGAAGCGAGAGACGAATACGTTTGGAAATAGAGATTTTCGCAGCCGCACTTACCGCGGGTGCACACGAGAGCACACGAGAGAGATTCTGCGAGGTTTATCTCCCTGTATATTGTACACTGTAATTACAATTTATACTTACTCGTAATCGAGACCTTTATCGATAGGCTATTACTATTAGTGGCTAGCGTAATAAAAGTCAAGCTCAAATTAGTGAGGCGGGAGAGCCGCGCGAGACGCTGTTTCCCTTCGCGGTTCCGTCGCGTCCCATTTTGTCACAAATGCACAACTCCCTTTCCTCGATTCCCCCTTTCTCTATGCGCGTTACCGTTGCAAGCAGGCCTATCGTACAAGATGTTCATAGAAACTAGAGGCTAGATCGGCTCTCTTTCTCCCCCGCCTTCTCCCCTTCCTCTCACGACTCCCCGGTGTTCTATGTTTCGCCCTCTCGACAGTGAAAGAAAGTAGCGTTCGTTGATTTATTTCGTTCTCTAAAAATGAAACTAGATTGCTTTACTATTGGGGGAAAAAAAGGAATCACGAGAGGATTGATGGAAAATTGTTTCGGCTATTCAAAACGTTGTCTACAAAGAACGCGACATATCTAGATGATAATATTATAATTTACGAGCAAGTCCAACCGACTTCTGCCAAATTTCCGCACGTTTACGGTATCTTCATGTCCCGAAACCCCCCCTCTTCACCGTCACTTTAGTCTTCGATCCTCGTCGAACGTACCTTCCTTTGCGGATCGAAGAGCTCGTTTCTGCAAACGTCCGTATTTTAAATAATCCACGTCAGATTCGAGTGAAATTGTTTGAAATACGGAATCTGCACGACGTGCAGAGAGGATCTCTTCTGTTCTGACGAATTAACGACGGATGCGCAAACGAGGGTCTCGAGCCTGAATTTTCAACTCCGCCGATGATTGATTTCTACCCCCGTCGATGATAAGACCCAGAAGCTAGTGGAATCGCGCAGTGTAACATAACTCAATGATACGCACCGTACATTATACGTATAATTAATTAACGATAAATACCGTAAAGGGATTTTTAAATGAATCTAGATGAATACATGACTACATAACGACACATCTTACAAGCAACATATCCTAGGTATTTGAGCACGGTGCTGCCGGAGGATTTCCCCTTTGTCGTACGATCATAGAATCGACATCAGGAGCGAGCGTATAATTTAATCGACGATCCCGCAGCGAAAACTGTCCCGAGCAGACACACGGCAGCATCGTGCTATTCTTTTCGAATTATTACAAGAAAAATTAATGAAAGATGTTCCATGACATTAGGACGTTATTATTAATGATATTTCTAGCAACGCGTGCGTGTAAAGTTTAATGTATCTGTATATGAGACATGATGCGTGTGCGTGCGTGTGCCGTGCTGTGTGTATGCGTGTGTGACGGATGAGAAACTCGTATCCCTTTCTCCACAAATTGGTGAAATCAAGAGCACGAATTAATTAATCGTTCTAAGATAGCACGAAGACAAAATGACAAATGAAGGAAAACGTGCTGTTCGAATCGCTGAGATAACGAACGGCTCAAATTGCCACCTGTTTTTTCCGCTTCTCTCTCTCGCAAATGTAAAGTAAACGGAAAACGGAATCCACAAAGAGAAACGCCGTTGATATTCTCTCTGTGTCTCCTTGCGGATTTCATCCTCATACCGCGCGTAAGCGATTTGTGCGCGCCGGGAGTTCAATGCAGTAGCGAGCTCGCAAGAGAAATTAATGGAAATCGGTAAAAGAGTAAAACTAGAAAAGAGGTATAAGAGAGCAAGAATATATGGTCAACTCGATGAACTTTATTTGCGAAATATTGATAGGAATATAAGGTGTAACTCGTGACACCTTTATCATTGTCTGATTTGATGATATTTTGTAAGTCTGGACCAGTTGTTAGGTTCTTATTAATCCCATAGCGACTTCTTATGGCGTATTTTCTCTGTATATTGTCAATGTTTATTATTAAATATTTTTCAAATAAATCTACGCTTTTCTCCTTTCCCGCTGATGTAACGCCAATGTTGCGTGTCAATAATTGCACGACATTGCCAGTACATTGGCCGACGTTATCGAATTATGTCCCCCTGTCCCTGCCTGCCCGAATCCCTGCCTACCTACCCGCGTTTTAACTTCATGTTAATGAGCCCACAAGTCTTTCATTAAAACCGTGACGCGATTTATAAGAGGCTCGATTTGGGATTATAATACGCGCGCGATTGGGATTTAACAGGGGTCTTTTCAACCTTGCACACATATGCGAGAATATACAAAGACGAATCACCCACCAGAATTTTAACAAATAAAAGAAATCAAATTATTTTGGACATTAGAGCGGCCAGTATCGACCACTTGTCCCGTCGCATCCAGTCTTCCTTCGTTGGGCCATACAAGACATACCGTTTGTTGCTGTTGGCCACACAGTCTGGTCATTTTGACCAGAGATCAGGATTTATAAGAGGTTCGATTTGGGATTGTAATACGCGCGCGATTGGGATTTAACATGGGTCTTTTCAATCTTGTACACATATGCGAGAATACATAAAGACGAATCACCCGCCCGAATTTCGACAGATAAAAGAGATCAAATTATTTTGTACATTAGAGCGGCCAGTATCGACCACTTGTCCCGTCGTATCCAGTTTTCCTTCGTTGGGCCATACAAGACATACCGTTTGTTGCTGTTGGCCACACAGTCTGGTCATTTTGACCAGAGATCAGGAAGGAAGAAAACCATTTCGCTAGTCGGTTTATCACCGACAGATATTTCGCACGGTTCGAACTATGTGCGACCCTGGTGAAAATAGAATTTGGAGCGTAAATCGAATGTAAGGGGAGAGTGACAGAAGCGTAAACGAAATGTGTAGGAAGCGTAATTTGGAACAGCGAAGCGTAAAAGAAGCGTTCGAAGTTTCTTTTACGCTTCGCTGTCCCAAATTACGCTTCCTACACATTTCGTTTACGCTTGTTTCACTCTCCCCTTACGTTCGATTTACGCTCCAATTTTTATTTTCACCAGGGGAGCGTCGATCGAATCAAAATGCGCGAGAAGTTAAGTAAAGAAGACTATTCATTAAAAATGTTTCCGTATTAAACTACTCGAGTATATTTTTACTTCCGATATTTGTTCGAGAATAAATAATGACTGTCGCTTCGCGACTCAAACTTTAAATTCAAACTTCAAGTATATTCGATGTATAGAAAAAGAGAATTTACTTCGCGCCACGTTTATTTTAATTCCGCGACAAATTTACATTTATCATATCGACGAAATTAAACAATTAATAATCGAACAAAGCTTACGACTTACCGACCCGCGCAGCAGCGGAGTTTAACAACACTGGTGCTGTAACACACGATTAAGAAATTCACATTAAAACGAAGAATTCAAGAAAACCAATATTAACGAAATAACATTTTAACATATATTTACATTAAAGTTGCTCCGCCGGCGCCGGATGCCTCCCAGGCCGCGCCTCCTCTCAGACTCCTGCATTTCGCACTGACACAACGCGCGGCACTCGCGAAAGAGGAGCTAATCGCCGAAGTAACGCACGACACGGCGCACTCCCGACGTTAATCGACGCGGACGTCACTGCAACGGGAGCGGCGAGTCGGTCGCGCGCGGAAACGCGACCCGAATCCGGCGAGACGGCGTCGCGCGAAATGGCGGGAACGTTTCGGCGGGAAGAACTCGCGGCGGAGACGCGCGAGGTT